GAGGGAAGGAGGGAGGGAGGGAAGGAGGGAGGGAGGGAGGGAAGGAGGGAGTGATAAGGAGGGATGGAGGGATGGAAGTAGGGAGAGAGGCAAGGAGGGAAGGAAGGGAGGGAGGGAAGGAGGGAGAGACGGAAGGAGAGAGGGACGGAGGGAGTGAGGGAAGATAGGAGAGAGGGAGGGATATCCTCCCTTTCCCCTCCCCTTTTACCTTTCCTATCTCTTCCCTCCCTTCTGTTCCTCTACCTCCTTTCCCCTCTTCTCCTCCCTCCATTCCTCTCTTCATTCCCCTCTCCCTCTGTTTCATTTTCCCCCTTCTCTCCCTTTTTATTCCTCTACTCTTCCCTCCTACTCTCGTTCCCATCCCATCCCCTCCCTTCTTCTCCCTCCATCCTTCACCTTTTCCTTCCCACTCCCTCCCTTCTTCTCTGCCTATCTGTCCCTCCTGTCTCATTCCCTTCCTTTCCCCTCTTCCCTCTCCCATTTCTATTCTCCCTTTTTGTCCTACCCTTTCCTTCCCCTCTTCCCTCCTTCTCTCATTTCAATTCTTCCCCATCATCCCCCCCCCCCCCTTCGTCTCCTTCCATCCTTCCTCTCTTCCTTCTCATCCTCTCTCCCTTCCCTCCCCCTCGCCCTCCCTCCCCCCCCTCCCATCCCTCACCTCAACTTCCCGAGGGCAAAACATTGTTAATACATTATCAAACACGCACCAAACAGGACCAATATTTCCCCCTTTCCTTCCCCCCCCCCCCCCCCAACCCCCAACCTCGCTTCCCCCCCACCCTTCCTCCCAACCCATCCCCGAGGCTATCCCTACCCCCCCCACCCCTCCCCTCAACCCACCCCCGAGACTATCCCTTCCCCCCACCCCTTCAGAGAGGGTGGAGAGGGGGAGAAGAGGTGGAGTAGAGAGGGAGAAGAGGGGGAGGAGAGAGGGAGGAGAGAGAGAGGAGAGAGGGAGGAAGAGAAAGAGGAGATAAGAGGGGGGGAAGGTAGGAGATATGGAGGAAGAGAGAGAAGAGAGAGCAAAGAGAGGTAGGAGAGGACAAGAGAGGGAGGAGAGATGGAAGAGAGAGAGAGACCAGATAGAGAGGAAGAGAAAGAAGAGAGAGATAAGAGAGATGAAAGAAGGAGGAGAGAGGGACCAGAGAAAGGTCAGAGAGAGTGAGGAAGAGAGGGAGGAGAGGGAGAGGGAGAGGAGAGGGGGAGGAGAGGCAGAATCCAGTACTGACGCAGGAGGCGAGCCATGATAGATAGAGCCGAGCGTCGTGTCACTTTGTAATTGTTAGCGGCGGTCGCAGTCAGAGGTGAAGGGGGGGAGGGGAGGAGGAGGGAGAGGAAGGGGAGGAGGAGGGGGAAGGGGGGGAGGAGGAGGACGGAGGACGGAGGAGGAGGAGGAGGAGGAGGAGGACGGAGTAGGAGGAGGCAGAGGACGGAGGAGGAGGAGGAGGAGAAGAGGGAGGAGGAGGAGGAGGAGGAGGAGGACGGAGGAGGAGGAGGAGGGGAGGGGGAGGAGGAGGAAGAAGAAGCGGAGGAGGAGGAAAGAGAGGAATAGAAATGATAATAAGAGGAGGAGGAGGAGGAAGAGGAAGCATGGGGAAGAGGAGGAAAGGGGGGAGGGGGAAGGGTCAAGAGGAAGAGGAGGTGGAAGAGGAGGTAGAGAAACTGAGAAAGAGAGAGACAGAAAGAGAAATAATAAAACCGGAAAAGAACAAGAGAAACGAAGAAAAAGAGAGATAGAAAAGGAAATAATTAAAAGAGGGTGAAAGAGAATAGAAGAAGGAGAAAGAGGAAAAAAAGTAAATAAGAAAGAGAGAAAAAGATCCGGAGAAACAGAAAGATAAAAAGATAGATATTAAAAGAGGAAGAGAAAAAAGATATTTGGAGAAAGAGATAGATAGAAAGGGAAATAATCAAAGAGGAAGAGAGAAAGGAAAATGGATAAAGAAAGAGAAAGATAACAAAGCTTACAGACAAAATGCGTGTTAAATACGATGATGTAGAGACAATCCGATAAATGTAATTAAACGATAATTAAAAAAAAAAAAACATGTATAAAGATAATAAATATGAAAATATATGTATTTATATATTCCTTCTCTTTCTATCCTCCTTCCCTCCTTTCCTTCCCTCATAACCCTCCTTTCCTCCTTACTCTCCCTCATACCTCTAATTCCCTCCCTTCCCTCCCTCATATCATTTCTCCCCCGGCCATTCACCCCCCTGCCTTCCCTCCAATCCCTTCTTCCCTCTTTCTCACCACTCCTTTCCTACCTCCTTTCTTCCTCTAACATTCCTTCTCTCTTCCCTCCTCGCCCTTCCTCCCTCATTCTTCAAACTCCTCCTTTCCCTCCCTCCTTCCTTCCTTCCCTCCCTCCTTCCTTCCTTCCCTCCCTCCCTCCTTCATTCCCTCCCTCCTTCCTTCCTCACCCATTCTTCCAGTCCCTCCTTCCTTCCCTCCCTCCCTCACTCCCCTCCCTTCCTCTCTCACTCACTCCCCCCCTCCCCTCAACCCCCCCCCCCTCACCGGTTCTAGCACCCTGGAACAACGAACAAATTTGACAAATAATGGGAAATTCTGGACAAATTGTACACTCGACGCAGAGACACAACTCGCATGATAAAACGTGGGGAGGGGGAGGGAGGGAGAGAGGGAGGGAGGGTGGGCAGGGGGTACTAAGGTAGGGAGGGAGGGAGGGAGAGAGCAAGGGAGGGAGGGAGGGAGAGAGCAAGGGAGGGAGGGTGGGTGGGAAGGGGGTAGGGAAGCAGGGAGGAAGGGTAGGAGGAAGAAGGAGGGAGGAAGATAGAGGGGAGGGAGGGAGGGAGGGAGGATGAGAGGGGGAATCAGGGAGGGAGGGAGGGAGGGAAGGGGCTACTCCTGTCTGCTACGGTAGTTCATCATCACAGCCCTGGGGAAAGCGCTGTGAATTCGGAAGGAGAGGAGGTAGAAAGGGGAAAGGAAAAGGGGAAAATGCTCAAACGCGATAAATTTGGAAGGAAGGAAAACAGAAAAGGGGGAAAGAGGAGAGAGAGAAAGGCCGAAGAGGAAGATTAAAGGAAAGGAGAGGAGAGGAAGGGAGAAGAGAGGGCGGAAAAGGGGAAAGGAAGAGGGAAAAAGAGGCAACCGAGGGAATAGAGAAAAGGGGAAAGAGGGGTGAGAGAAAGAACAAATGAACATAGAGGGAAGGATGGGAGGAAAGAATACAGAAAGGGGAAGAGGGCGAGTGAGGTAAATTTGGAAGAGGGGAAAAGAAAAAAGGGAAAGAAGAGGGGAGAAGAAAGAGTAAAGAGAGGGACGGAAAAGAAGAAAAGAGAGAGAGAAAGAGATGAAAGAAAGAAAGTGGTGAAAAAGAAAAGAGAAAAAGGGGTAAAAGTGGTGAATTTGGAAGGAAGGAAGGAGGAAGGGGGATAGAAGGGGAGAGGGAAAAGGAGCGGATGGAGGGAAGAGGGAGATGGGTAAGAGATGGAGAGAAACGATAAGATGAATAAGATGAGTAAAAAAAAAAAAAAAAAAAAAAAGATAAATTGATATATACATATATCTCTATGCTGATATATTTATATCTAAATCTACATAAATTTATATTTATTTGTAATGATAATATTACTAAAATAAGTCTTATTACCCTACAATCTGCTTCCCTTAACTCTCTCTTCCCTACCCCCCCCACCCAACCTACCCAAACGTGCCCAATACCCCACCACTAAGACCCCTGCCTTCTCCCCCTCCAATACCCCCATACCCCCCTCTCCCCCCCCCCATTCACTAGGAACCCGAGCAAAGGGGGGGGTGAAGGAATAAGGTGAGGGGGGAGGGGTGGGGGGGATAGGGGAAAGGGGAGAGGGATAGAAGGGGTGAGGAGGGAGAGGGGGATGGGGTGGGGGTAGAGAGGGAGTGGGAGATAGAGGTGGGGAGGGGTATGGGGTGAGGAGGGGGCGGGGGGAGGGGTATGAGGGGAGCAGGGGGAGGGGGAGGGGGGGAGGCGGTGATCTCGCGTAATGGACATCGAGGGCGGTGCTCAACTAGGCGTTACTCGCGGGTTATGTGCCGGCGCAACAGCTTCCATTCTCGTCGAGAGTAGCTGTAAAACGTGATGATCGTATTATGTCCGGGTTTTGTTGGCGTCTCGGCCGGCGCTCGGAGTGAACACGGCGTCCGCAGGCCCTCTGGCGGCGCGCCCGGGAACTAACGGCCCGCTGGCAACAAGTCGACGGTCTGTCCGTTCACCGCAACAAGTCGCGCGCGAGCGCACGCATACGTATGCACACACACACACACAATAAACAAATCGGTGTAAACAATAGGGCGACAGCATACACATAAATATATATAAATAGTTACATTTATATACAATGTACATACAGTACACACAGACCACACACATATACACATACACACAATAAACATAAAGACACCAATGTAAACAAAATGAAGAAATAGCTAAACATGACGAATGTGAAAGATGCTAATATGGAGAAAAAATAAATTACTAATATATAGATCAAAAGCGGACAAAAGCTGGGAGGGAAGCGTGTGTATTTTCTGTTCCCCCGCACACAAAATATACAAAAACAAATGTAAACAATCCGACAATAAATGTATAGACAAAGATTGAAGAGAAAGGGGAGGAAGAAGAGAAAGAGAGAGAGAGAGAGAGAGAGAGAGAGAGAGAGAGAGAGAGAGAGAGAGACTGAGATAGAGTAAAATAGAGAAAATCTGCTTACCAACACTCCCCCCCCCTACTTTAGTTATCGAAGAAAAGAAAGAAAGAAAAAAAGTGAAAAGGGTAATTGCTCAGAAATCCATTCGCCGATTCAAGTCGACGATCCACCGGTAAATATATCAGCCAACAGTCACCAAAGAAACGGAATAAATTCGTACGAACATCAGCAACTCGACAGTCTCCACGAAATACCAAAACCCACAACCATATTAGACCAAAATCCACAACAATATCGAAAAGGCAAGAAGTCAATAGACCGAGATTTAACAAGTCAACAATCTATAATGGTTGCAAGTCGACGGTTTGGCGGTCCGCGACAGGCCAATACTGCTGAACTATTAGCTTCTTGTTATTTGTGAGTTTGTTAACCTGCCTATCGGGGGAATATAAAGGCCTTTGATTCTGGGAATTTGTGTTCGCTGCTCTTGGGTAATTGTTTGTTTATGTGAGAAACGGCGTAATATGATCTTGATTGCTTCTATCATCTTATTTATATATTTGTTTGTTGTTTGTTTTTTTATGTGCGTGGCTTTGGGATTTCGCTTGTCGAAGATGAAATTTCTCAGTAATCCTCTCTCTCTCACCTCTCTCCTCCTCCTCCTGCTTCTCCTCCTCCTTTTCCTCTTCCTCCTCCTTCTCCTCCTCTCCCCCCTACCCTTCTTCACTTCCCCTTACCCCTCTCCCTTTCCTCCTCTCCCCCCCTCCTCCCCCACACCACCCTTCCTCCTCCTCCTCCTTTTCCTCTCCCCCCCCCTTCTTCACTTCCCCTTACCCCTCTCCCTTTCCTCCTCTCCCCCCCTCCTCCCCCACACCACCCTCCCTCCCCTCCTCCCCCTCCTCCCTATCCCTGCTTCAGCTTTACGTAAACCAAAGATTCCAAGATTAGTCTACCATGAAGTAAGAAGCTAAGATGGAGGAGAAGGGGGGGGGGATGTGGGCAGGAGGGACGAGACGGGAGGTGAGGGAGAGGGGGGTAAGGGAGAGGGGCGGGGTTGTGGGCAGGGGGGGCGAGACGGGAGGTGAGGGAGAGGGGGGGGTTGTGGGCAGGGGGGGCAAGACGGGAGGTGAGGGAGAGGGGGGTAAGGGAGAGGGATGGAGGAAAAGGCAGGGGAAAGAGAGGGAGGGAGAGTGGTTGGGGAGAGGGAAGGAGGGAGGGAGGGTAGTGGGGGACAGTGAGGGAGGAAGAGTGGTAGGGAATAGGGATGAAGGGAGGGTGGTAGGGGAGAGAGAGAGAGAGAGGGAATTAGCAATAATAGGTAAGGGTAGGGTAAGGGAGAAGAGGGAGAGGGAGAGTGGGGAAGATAGGGAGGGAAAAGAAGGGTGGAGTGTTAAGTGGAGGGCTGGACAGCTAGTGGAGGTTGAGGGGAAGGAGGGGAGGGAGGAGAGGATAGCGGATTCCACGGAGGGGCAAGTGGAGGGTTATGAGTCAGAAGAGGGGCGTGGGGAGAGGAAGGAGGGGGAAGGAGTGGGGTTGGGGATATTAGTATAGATATTGGAGAGAGAGAGAGAGAGAGAGAGAGAGAAGCGAGGAAGATTGCGAGAGAGGGAGAGAGAGAGAGAGAGAGAGCGAGGGAGATTGCGAGAGAGAGAGAGAGAGAGAGAGAGAGAGAGAGAGAGAGAGAGAGAGAGAGAGAGAAAGAAAGTACGAGAGAGAGAAAGAGAGAGAGAGATGAAGAATTTGGGAAAAGCAATGGGGGGGGAGGGGAGTAGTAGAGGGGAGGGGAAGGAGAAGTAGGGGGTAAAGGTTAAGGAGAAATGGGGAAAGACGGCAGGAAGGGAGAGAAGAGGTAGAGAGAGACACACAGACACACAGACAGTGATAAAGACAGAAACAGAGACAAACAAAAAACGAGAAAAATAAATATCCAAACAAGGGAGACAAAAGAAAAGAAAAGAAAAAAAAAAAGAAAAGAAAAAGAGACAACACAGCAAGCAAAGAACAGGGTATGAGGGGCAGGGGCAGCGAGGGGAAGGGACCAGACTACGTAGGCATCCCCCTCGCCCCCTTAGCTTCCGAGGGGAAAGCAATATTTTTCTACAATTTTCCCCTCTTAACGAAACGGCCGAGGCTAGGAGAGCACCTGAGGCGAGCGAGGCAGTCACTTCTTATTAAACTCTCCGGGGTAAGCGAGGAGGTAAAGAGGAGGCATGGAAGAAAAAGAGAATAAAAGAAAGAGAGAAAAGGAAGGAAGGAGGTAAAGAGGAGGCATGGAAGAAAAGGAGAATAAAAGAAAGAGAGAAAAGGAGGAAGGAGGTAAAGAGGAGGCATGGAAGAAAAAGAGAATAAAAGAAAGAAAGAGAGAAAAGGAAGGAAGGAGGTAAAGAGGAGGCATGGAAGAAAAAGAGAATAAAAGAAAGAAAGAGAGAAAAGGAAGGAAGGAGGTAAAGAGGAGGCATGGAAGAAAAAGATAATGAAATAAAGAAGGAGAGAAAAGGAAGGAAGGAGATAAAGAGGAGACAGAGAAAAAAAGGAAGGATAGGAAGAGAGAAAGGGAGGACGGGGGTAAAGAGGAGACATGGAAGAAAAAAATAATAATAAAAGAAAGAAAGAAAGAGAGAAAGGAAGAAAGGGGGTAAAGAGGAGGCATGGAAGAAAAAGAGAATAAAAGAAAGAAAAAGAGAAAAGGAAGGAAGGAGGTAAAGAGGAGACGTGGAAAAAAAAGAAAGGAAGAGAGAAAGGGAGGAAGGGGATAAAGAGGAGACATGGGAGAAAAAGAGAATAAAAGAAAGAAAGAGAGAAAAGGAAGGAAGGAGGTAAAGAAGAGGCATGGAAGAAAAAAAGAGTAAAAGAAAGAAAGGGAGAAAGGAAGGAAGGGGGTAAAGAGGAGACATGGAAGAAAAAAGAAAAGAAAAGAAAGAAATAGAGAAAAGGAAGGAAGGAGGTAAAGAGGAGACATGGAAAAAAGAAAGGAAGAGAGAGAGAAAGAGAGAAAGGAGGTAGATAGGAGTCATGGAAGAAAAAGAGAATAAAAGAAAGAAAGAGAGAAAGGGAAGGAAGGGGGTAAAGAGGAGGCATGGAAGAAAAAGAGAATAAAAAAAAAGAAAAAGAGAAAAGGAAGGATGGAGGTAAAGAGGAGACATGGAAAAAAAAGAAAGGAAGAGAGAAAGGGAGGAAGGGGGTAAAGAGGGTACATGGAAGAAAAAGAGAATAAAAGAAAGAAAGAGAGAGAGAAAGGAAGGAAGGGGGTAAAGTGGAGACATGGAAGAAAGAAAGAATAAAGGAAAGAAAGGAACAGAGAAGAGAAGAGATAAAGAGAGGGGAGGTAGAGAAAGAAAAATAGCCAGAGGAGCTGGAAAAGAAAGAAGAAAAATAAATAAACAAAATAAAACAAAACGATAAAAAAAACAAAAACAAAAATAAATGTTTCCAGAAGCCAATTTAACTCTTCAAATTTAGTTTACTTTTATTTCCGACATTTAATCAATGAACTATTTCGCTTCCGCTAATTAGTCACATCAGTAAATAATAAAGTTTATTTCAATCTCACCTTCGCCGTTCTGAATAGAGCTTGCACCCCTATCACTCCTCTGCTTCGTGAATATTAAAATCAGATTTTATGTAAGGCATTCTATAGCATTTTTGTAGTATTTTGGGTATAACATCTTCTAGAATTTAGGTAGTGTTGTTTTTTTTTTTTTTAGCATTTGGGTAGAGCACCTTCCTGTATTTAGGCATTGCAATATATATTATTATTTAGGTTCAGCATCTTATGAAATTGGGGTAGTTAATCTTATGAAATATAGGCAGTGCATCTTGTAAGGTTTAAGCGTTGCATTTTATGACATTTAGGTATTGCATCTTCTGAAATTTAGACATGGCGAAGTCTATAACATTTAGGTATAGCATCTTCTGAAATCTAGGCCTCGTAATTTTATGAATGTGTTTGGTTATAGCATCTTACGAAATTTTTGGCATAGTATTTCATAAACCTTATGTATGATATTTCATAGCATTCGAGTAAAGCATTTTTTTTGGCCTTTGCATTTATCCTTCTCAGCCTAAACTATTCCCAAACGATTATCTCTAAGTTATATTACACTGCAGGTTTTGCCAATCTGTTTATCGCCTCAAATTATTTTTTTCCAATTAGCGAAGCTCTAACCAGTATTTGTGTTCTTTCTGCAATATCCTTTCTCTGTCTTTCCTTCTAATTTGCTGTGTTAGATACCATTACTTTCAACTACACGAAGGTATTTGTATCCATTAACTGAGTCTAATTTCATAATCTCTATTACCAGCGCCGGTTAGCTTCCTCACTTTAAGTGGTATTATTATTATTATTATCATTGTATCATCATTTCATTTATCATTATCGATATCACCATCTTCATCATCACTACTATTATTATTGTCATTATGGATTTAGAAACATTATGATAATGATAATAAAGATGATGATAATGATAATGATCATTATCAATACTATTATCATTAACATTATTATTATCATTATTACTATTATTATTATTATTATTATTATTATTATTATTACTATTATCATTATCATTATTATTATAATGATGATTAAAAATGTTATCATTATTATTATTGTTATTATCATTCTTATCATTATCTTCATTACTGTTATTATCATTGCTACTACCGCTGCTATTGAGACTTTTGCTATTTCTATCATTCTATCATCATCGTTATTCTTCTCTTTTTCCTCCTCCTCCTCCTTCTCAACATTCTCATCTTCCTACTCTTTATCTTCATCACAATCATCACCATCATCATCTTCATCATCATCACAATCATCATCATAATCATCATCATCATCATCATCATAATCATCATCATCATCATCATCATCATCACCATCACAATCATCACCATCATCATCATCATCCTCATCATCATCATAATCATCATCATCATCCTCATCTTTATCACCATCACAATCATCATCATCACCACCACCACCACCACCACCATCATCACCATTATTGTTAGTGTTATTACGAAATTAAAGATATTGTTACTCTCATACAGAACTACCAATACAAATACTAATCGAGATAAATGAATAAAAGCGATTTTTATCTAAAAACAAAAACAAAAAAAACAATGCAAAACTAAAATGAAAATTAATGGAAGATAGAATTTGCATGAAGATTATATTGAGAAAAAAATCCACGATAACAAAAATGACACTTATGTTGTTGATAATAATAATAATAATAATAAAAGTATAAAATAGTGATAAAAATAATTTTGATAATGAAATATTTCGCTCAACAAAGATAAATTTAATATTTACTTGATGAGCAGAGTATCATTTTGAAAGTGAGAAAGAAAAAGAATATAGAAATAATGATGATGATGAGTAAAAGTAATAATAGTAATAACAATAATTCTAGTAATGATAGATAATGATAATGATGATAATAAGTATAATAATAATGATGATAAATATGAAAATAAAGGAAAGCAGAGGAAGCAATACAAATACAGTACAAAATGGCACAAAATATATCAAACAAACAGGAAAATAAACAGGAAAAAAGAGATAAAATTGTGAATATAATAAAAACGTGGGAGAGAGAGAAAAAAAAAATCAAGAAAAAAAGAAAGAATAAAAGTAAGAAAAGAAAAGAACATGAAGGAAAAAATAATAATAAGAATAAGAAAGAAATAAGGAAAGAAAGAAAAAAATAAAAGATAGAAAGATCGAAAGAAAAATAAAAGAAAAACGAAAGAAAAATGAAAGAAAGAACGAAAGAAAAGAAAGAAAAATGAAAGAAAGCTAAAAATAAAGAAAGGAAGAAAAGAAAATCTTAAAAACGAAAAAAAAAGAGAAACTCAGAAATCGCTGTTCCTTCACCCGGAATCAATGACTTCGCCGCGATGACTTGACAGGCAAGTTAGACAAAGAAGTTGACAGGGAGAGAGGCGGGAGAGAGGAGGAAGGGGGAGAGGGGAAGATGGGGGAGAGGAGGGGGAGGGAAGAAGGGGATGATGGGGGAAACGGGGAGAGGGGGAGGAGAGGAAGAATGGGAAAGGAGGAAGGGAGGAAGGAAGAGAAGGGGGAGAGGGGAAAGGGAGAAGAGGAGAAGAAGAGGGGGAAAGGAGGAAGGGGACGAGCGGAAAGGGAGGAAGGAGGGGAAAAGGGAGAGGGGAAGGAAGGGGGAAAGAAGGAGCAGATAGGGGGAAAGATGGCTGAGAGAAGCGAGAAAGGGAGGAAGGGAGGTGGGGAAAGGGGAAAGGGAGAGGCGGGGGAGTGGAGAAGAGAGAAGGGGGTAAGAGAGAGTATAATCATAATTATCCTAATGATCTATTTTCTGTATATGTTTATCCGAGAGAAAAATCTCAGGATTTAAAATGTCTTCCTAAAAAGAAAAAAAAAGAAAAAAAAGAAAAAAGAAAAATATACACACACACACACACACACACACACACACACACACATATATATATATATATATATATATATATATATATATATATATATATATATATATATATATATGTATATACATATACATATATATATATATATATATATATATATATATATATATATATATATATATATATATATATATATATATATATATATATATATATATGCACACATATACACATATATATATATATATTTCCATCTCTTTCCCTTTCTCTTTCTTTGTTTTTTCTATCTATTTTTATCTTACTCTCTGTCTGTCTACCCATCTATCTACCTATTTATCTATCTATCCATCTATTATCTATCTATTTATCTGCCTATCTGTTTAACACTGTCTGTCTATCTATCTACCTATCTATCTATTTGTCTATCTCTTTCTCTCTTTTTTCTCATTCACTCTCTTCTACACCGAACCCTTTTCTCGTGCCTCTCTTCTCCCTCATTATTATTATTATATTTTATTTTATCTTTTTTGCAATACATGCTTTCCTTGCAATAGGGATGCCCCCCCCCCTCCCGTTCCCCCTTCCTCCTCCTCCTCCTCTTCCCCAATTCCCTTTTCAACTTCCTCTCCCTCCCTCCCCCCTCCTGAGTTCCCTTCAATACCCTCCCTTTCAACTCCCTTTGCCCTTTCCCCAATCCCCTTTTCAATTTACTCCTTCTCTCCCTTCCTCCTTCCTTTCTCCTACAACACCTTATTTTCTAATTTTCTTTAACCTTTCCTCAATTCTGTTCAATTCCTATCAACTCTTCATCAATTTCTTTTAACTCTTTCTTCTCATATTTTCTTCAACTTTTTTCTCTATTCCTCCTTCAATTCCTTCACCCTTTCCCCAATCCTCTTAAATTGTCCTCAGCTTCCTCCCCAATCCCCCTTACCTTTCACCCTTTCCCCAACCCCCCTTAAACTCTCTTCAGCCTCCTCCCCAACCCTCTCTAACCCCTTCCCCACCCATTCTCGTCAACCCCCTCCCTTAACCCCATCAACCGTCCTCTTCCCTCTTTATAAACCCCACCACAACCCCCTTCGAACTCCTTTCCCCAACTCCCTTCCCCCCATCCTACTTCCCCTACCCCTCCCCTCCCCTCCCCCTTCCCCTACCCCCTACCCCCCAACAGAAAAAAAAAAGATAAGAAAATAAATAAAAGGATAAAAATAAAAGGAACGCTAGCTTTCTTGTATCGTCTTCTGCGCCCCCAATAAATCACCTCTCGAGAGTGTATAATTTTTGAAAAATCTCTCCAGTCCCCCCCCCCCCTTCCTCCTCCTCTCCCTTCTCCCTCTCCCTTCTCTCCTCTCCCTCTCCTTTCTCCCCTCTCCCCTCTCCATCTCTCTCTCTCCTCTCCCCTCTCCCTCTCCTCTCCTCTCCCCTCTTCTTCTCCCCTCTCCCCCTCCCCTCTCCCTCTCCCCTCTCCCTATTCCCTCTCCCTTTCCCCTCTCCCCTCTCCTCTCCCCTCTCCTTCTCCCCTCTCCCCTCTCCCTCTCCCCTCTCCCCTCTCAAAGCCTGTGGTGTAATACTAATAAAGCTCCTGCGGTCTGTCCAGCAGGAGCTCTTCCCCTCCTCTCACCCCCCCCCCCCTTCCTTCTCCCCCTCTCCCTCTCCTATACCCTATCCTTCTCTTCTCCTTTTTATGTCTTCCACTCCCTATCTCTTCCCCTTCCCCTCTTCCCTCTATCTCTTCCCCTTCCCCTCTTCTATCTATCTCTTCCCCTCCCCATATCATATCATCTCCTATCATCTCCCTCTTTACTCTCTTTTTTTTTCTCTCTTCCTCTTCCTAAACCCTCTCTTCTCCCCTCTATTTCTTTCTTTCCTCTCTCCTTTCTATTCCTATGCCCAGTCTCCTTGTCCTATCCCTTTTTCTTCTCTTCTCTCTTCCCTCTTCCATCCTATCCTTTCCTTTCCTTTTTCCCTCTGTCTCTTCCCTCCTCCTTCTTATTTCCTCCCCCTCCCCCCCCCCTCTCTCTCTCTCCTCCATCTCTTCCTTCCCCCACTCTATCTCCCCTCCCTCCCTCCCCCTCCCCTATATCACCCCTCCCCCCTCCCCCTCCCTTGCTGTCCACCACGATACAAATAACAACACTCCCCCCCTTCCACCCCCCCCCCTTCCCCATTACCCCCACCTCCTTCCCCACTATCTCATGACCCCTACCTCCCTCACCCCCCCTTCCCCACCATCCCTTGATCCCCGTCTCCTACCCCCCCTCCCCTTCACCCCTTGTTCGTCCCCTCCCCCCCTCCCCTTCACCCCTTGTTCCTCTCCTCCCCTCCCCCCCCTTCACCCCTTGTTCCTCCCTTCCCCCCCTCCCCCAAGAGAAATTCCGGTACACAATTTTCTTGGCGGCATAAATCAAAAAATGGCCACCGCGTTCAGATAGCATCAAGGCCTTACTTGGTCTTGGCTTCGGTATAGGCTTGACTTTGGCTTCGGCTTAACTTCGGTTTCAATTTGACTTTGGCTTCGGCTTGGCTTTGACTTTGGCTTCGGCTTGGCTTTGACTTTGACTTTGGCTTTGACTTTGGCTTTGGCTTCGGCTTGGCTTTGACTTTGGCTTTGGCTTGACTTTGGCTTGGCTTTGACTTTGGCTTTGGCTTCGGCTTGGCTTTGACTTCGACTTGGCTTTGACTTCGGCTTGGCTTTCACTTTGACTTCAGCTTGGCTTTAGCTTCGGCTTGGCTTTGACTTCGGCTTGGCTTTGACTTTGGCTTGGCTTTAGCTTCGGCTTGGCTTTGACTTCGGCTTGGCTTTGACTTTACCTTTGGCTTGGCTCGGCTTGGCTTGACTTTGGTTCGGCTTGGGTTTGACTTTGGCTTTGGCTTCGGCTTGACTTTGGCTTCGGCTTGGGTTTGACTTTGGCTTGGCTTTGGCTTTGGCTTGGGCTTGACTATGACTTTGACTTCGGCTTGACTTTGGCTTCGGCTTAGGCTTCGGCTTGGCTATGGCTTTGACTTCGGCTTGGCTTTGGGTTTGGCTTCGGCTTGGCTTCGGCTTTGACTTTGACTTTGGCTTCGGCTTGGCTTTGGCTTCGGCTTGACTTTCGGTTTCGGTTCCGGTTTCAGCTTGGCTTTGCCTGGGTTTCGGTTTCGGCTTTGGTCTATTCTTTGTTTTTGTTTTTTGGCCCAGACTTCGGTAACTTTACTGGCTTACGTGTTTGGCTTCGACTTCGTCTTTAAATTAACTTCGGCGACGGGACAAGTAGCTTAGGAAAAAATCCCACACTCGAACACCGACCTATAAGCGTCCCCTCAAGCGATTAAATCCGATTAAAACAAAAACAAAAAACAAAAAACAAAAAACAAAAAACAAAAAACAAAAAACAAAAATCCACCGGCATACAAGGGCCCAGTAACAGCCCCAGCCAGATCCCCCGGTAACTGGTATGTGGTGCCGGGGGGGTGGGGGAGGTTAAACCGGGGGGCGGGAGGAGCTTACACACACAAGGGGCACAGCATGGGCGAGGTGTGTGGCGCGCATGACAGGTCTCGGATGGGGGGGAGGGGGGTAATCACAAACACACATACATACCTAAACACACAAACATACATAAACACACGCAGACACACACAACTGCACACACACACATACACTCACTCACACGCACACACATACACATACAAACACACACAACCGGATACACATACATACACACACTCATACGGCCACACACACACACACGCACACACACACACGCACACACACAACTGCACGCGCACATGCATATATAATACCCAGAGCTCCAGGAAGACAGGAAGTGGCTAAGATGATAATAGCATCAGAAAGGAAGAACGATATTGATGGTGATAGGAGGTGAAAGGGAGAGAGGATAATCGGGCAGAGATGGATGAATGATGATGGGGAAGAGGAACAAAGACGCGAAAGGGAAATAGAAAGGAAATTGCCAAAGGAGGAAGGAAACACACAACCGACAAAGATACACACACGGATACATAATATATATATATATATATATATATATATATATATATATATATATATATATATATATATATATATATATATACATATATATATATATATATATATATATATATATATATATATATATATATATATATATATATATATATATATATATATATATATATATATATACATACATATACATACATACATATATATGCATATATATATATATATATATATATATATATATATATATATATATATATATATATATATATATATATATATATATATATATATATATATATTATGCATCCGTGTATGCATATATATTTATGTATATATATATATATATATATATATATATATATATATATATATATATATATATATATATATATACATATATATATAATATATATATATATATATATATATATATATATATATATATATATATATATATATATATATTATGCATCAGTGCATGCATATATATATACACACACACACACACACACACACACACACACACACACACACACACACACACACACACACACACACACACACACATATATATATATATATATATATATATATATATATATATATATATATATATATATATATATATATACATATATATTTATATATATATATATATATATATATATATATATATATATATATATATATATATATATATATATATATATATATATATATATATACATATATATATACACACAAATGTGTTATCATTCCTATATATATATGTATATGTGTGTGTTACACACATATGCATATACATACAATTTATACAATACACACACAACAACCACAGTAAACACGCAACAAACACTCACACATACATGGTAAAGAAATAACAAACACACAAGATACATACAACCCACAAACAAATACGCGACAAACACACCACAGACACGCATAATGAAAATGCAACAGACACAACAAACACACAGCACACACGTGACAAACACACGTAACAAAGACACGTAAAAAACAAACAAAAAAATACAGTACAAGCAACAAACAATTAACAAAAACACAACAGACAAGCAACAAAAACACAACAGACAAGCAACAAAAACAACACAACAGACAAGCAACAAAAACACAACAGACAGGCAACAAACACACGGCAAGCACATAACAAGCACACTAACAAGAACAGGGGCAACAATAATATTATCTTCCCCGCCTCCCATATCTCCTGCAAACAGTTAATGGATCTTAATGGAGGTTGAGTGAATTAGGCTGAGGTTGGGGTAGGGGAGGGGGGGGGGAAGGGGGGGGGGTTAGTGGAATAGGGGGTGAGGCTGGGGGACGGGATTGGGGTATAGTGGGTAGAGGGGAGAGAGATAGGGTAGGAGAGGTGAAGGGAGAGTGGGTAGGATGTAGGACTCTAGGGGGTAGGCTGGGGCATTGGGGAGAGGGGGAAGAGAGAGTGAGTGGGAGGAGGGAAGTGAGGTGGGGGGGGGGGAGAGGGGAAAGAGAGAGTGAGTGGGAGGAGGGAAGTGAGGTGGGGGGAAGAGACGGGAAAGAGAGGGAGTGAGAGGGGAAAGGGAAGTGGGGTAGGAGGAGAGGGGAAAGAGAGAGAGTGGGAGAGGAGAGGGAAGTGGGTGGGAAGAGAGGGGTAAAAGAGAGACTGAGACGGAAGAGGTAAATGGGGTGTGTGAGAAGAGAGGGGGAAGAGAGAGAGTGAGAGAGGAGAGGAAAGTGGGGTGGGTGGGAGGAGGTTGAGAAATAGCGAAAAAGATACAGAGGAGTGAGAGAAAGAGAGAAAGGAACTGGGAAATGGGGAGTGAGTGGGGGAATGGAATAGTGGGGTAAAGGATGTCAAAGAAAATGGTCATGGGAATTTTGGAACAGGGAGTGGGGAAAAGACACCAAGTGCGAAAATCGGGACGAAACAATAATTGGTAAACGAAAACAGGGAATGGGAGATGTGATAATGAGTGAATTAACGGAACACAGAGTGGGAGAAGAGAAAACTAAATAGAAACAAGGAAAGTGGGACAGATAAGAACAGGGAATTGAACGGACTGCAACAAGAAGCGAGTGAATGAAATGGAGAAGAGAGAAAAATGAAAAAAAAAAAAACGAGAAATGCGTATTACGAAGATTCTAACAGAGAGGAGACCGAATGGGTGGAAAGAGAAGAGGAGATAGAGAAGGAAATGGTAGAAAAGGGGGGGGGGGGGGCGTTGGTTGTGAATGTACAGGAAGTGGGTGGAGATGGTGATAATGGTAGTGAGAAAAGGCAGAGGAAGCGAGGACGTGGAGGACGAGGAAGAAGATTAGGAAAGAATAGATGGATGGATAGTGAAGAGGTGAGAGTGACGGATAAACCTACGGAGAAAGGAGAAGCAAGTAAAGGAGAGGAAGAAAGGGATAGAGGAAGAGAGAGGGAGAAAAAGATAGATAAATAGATAGATAGATAATATAGGGACAGGCAGGTAGTTAAATGGATAGATAGACAGACAGACTGATAGGTAGATAGACAGATAGATGGATAGATAGGTACATAGATAGAGAGAGAAACAAGAGAAAGTGAAAGAAAGAAATTAAGAGAAAGAGAGAAAGAGAAAGAGTGAGAGAGACAGAGACAGAGAGTTAATTAGCACCTAAATGGGCAGAATGCAAGACGTTGTGACACTTATACAAGATAGACAGATAATTGGCAAGATGGGCTCTCTCTCTCTCTCTCTCTCTCTCTCTCTCTCTCTCTCTCTCTCTCTCTCTCTCTCTCTCTCTCTCTCTCTCTCTCTCTCTCTCTCTCTCTCTCTCTCTCTCTCTCTCTCTCTTTCTCTCCCTATCGCTCACTCACTCACAAACACACACATTAACAAACAAACACATATCCACAAACATTTAAAGAAGACTGAATGCCAAATAGGTAAAGCATGTAAAGCAAATAGGGAAAGTATGTACACAAACACATAAGTTATAAAGCCAGATAGATAAACAGATAGACAGAGACGCTGTATACGTGTTAGGTCCAGTTTGCTCTCTCCCAACCTTAATGAATATTCAGTAATTTTTCAAACGACTTTCAACCTTATGTTTGTCAGGGCAGGTGAGATTGTGGGAATAATTTTCTTGTTTACTGGATAAACTAATTACATTACTAATCTTCAAAGGCAAGGATTCATTAAAGATTCATCCTAGGCTGGAATTCTAAGATCTATTTTGACACAGGGGGGGAGGAGGTGGGGGTGATGTTTATGCTTATCTTACACCCTCAAAGTCTTAATAAAGAGGAAGAGGAGAAATGAGGAAGAAGGAAAGAAGAAGAGGAGAAAAATGCGAGTTATATGTCGCGATTAATTAATTTCGTGGCAACTCTAGCGGCGATGGCTATGGCACCGTTTCTCTTTTCAAGGCTGCGTTCAAGTTATCTCCGCCGGCGCACACTACCGTCTACCAACATCAGCTGATCAATTAATTACACGCAGCAACCGTGGCGGAAGAGCCCGTCGAAGCGTGACGAGAGATTGATGAATATATGCAAATGAGTGAGGCTCCGTTGCCCCTACGCCTCATCCCCTCCTCCCCCCCCCTCTCCCCTCTCGCAGCCAGCCAGGTCGCAATGCGCTGCATAAACAACACATTTTCTTGCACTTCGCCGTGACTTTACTCCGGCTGAAGATCCTTTGCAATTTTCGCAGACTTTGTCCTCACACTCGTCGGAATTGGGTTTGTAAACATTAACCCTCGACAT